CTTAAAAGACGTGAAAGTGGAAGCTGGGAGGTGGCGACAAAGGACGACGGCCCTGCACCGACCCCGCCTGCTTTTGTTACCTTTTTTGCCTCGCTGGACTCATCCCATACCATTTGTCCAGCATCGACCCCAACTTGTGTGCTTCACTCATTTTGAGGGTTACTGATTTTAATTTCCAACCCTCTTTCACACACATACATATATATATATATATAATGAGAATTTTGGAATGTTGATAATAATTCTATACACACATGAGAAGTACCACTAGGTTAACAGTTTGATGGTACTTTGAGCATAAGAGATTTGAACCTGATGTTACTATGGATCTTAGGATGAGAAATATCGCTAGTTGATAATTTGACTAAAAACGTGAACCAAAAACTTCAAAAAGCTTTGCAAATTCACATATTGAATAAAAACTTTGCAATCGATGGTAACATTTTATCCTAATAATGTAGTGTTGCCAATACATGTTGCAATTCGTTTAGGCATGATTGTCACATTATTCGCTACTGCGTCTTTTATACTCTACCCATCTAATTTTTTAACATATATAGAGTTAAACTTACATATTAAAGTCGTAATTCATCATTCATGTATCTCTTATCACATATGTTAACTATCTTATAATTGTACTTTAAGTATCTTCAAGCTATTATTTCTCCCTTTAATGAATAAGTATTTGTGTTTTGTTTCGTGCGTTGAATAACATGATTGTGAGGTTGATAATTTGAAAATCTCTGAAATTTTTTTCGATCTCGAGTAAACTGTCGTGATAAAGTAACCGGTTGATTTTTTTGTTACGCAAATGTGATTTTAGCTTGAAAAATAATGTGAACCTTTCCACGTAACCGATACATCCCATGAATCGTGACACTAATGACTCGTGTAGATTCAAAATCCCAAATGGCAAGAAATGTAATTAAGAAAACACCCGAGGGCACTTTCGGTAAACTGAAACATATATATATAAAACGGTAAAAATCTAGCTGCTCTCCTCCTCTGTCGCGTTTTCCTGCTCCACAGGGCAAAGATAAAAGGTAAGGCCTTCCCTCTGATCCCCAAATCTAGGGTTCTTCTAACCTCTCACTCCACCAAATCAGAGCCGGCCTCCATTTCCTCTTTAAACCTAATAATTGAAGATTTTATTTGCTTAATCTCTCTGTTTAATTGGTAATTACTTGCTACATTTTGCTAATTGCATTTGGTACTCCTTAATTCTGTTGTTTTGCTATTTTTCTTGTTTTAATCTCAAAAGCGCGTCTGGATCTTTGATTTGATTTTGGTGTTTATAGGTTGAATTTAGGAATTTTTGTGTTTTGTTAGCTGATTAGTTCAGTTTTTTTTCACGATTTGGAATAATTTTATTTATTTTTCTGTAATTTGGTTGACTTTTTAGCTGTAATTTTTGGTGGTTAGATGGAAAATAGTTAACTTCCTCAGTTTTCTGGGTTCTTATAGGTTAATTTTTTCTCGTGGATGTCTGTAAAGCAAAATTCGAAAAGCTTTATTTTCGAGCTTTTTGTTTAAATCTTCAAATTTTGAGAAGAATCGTGTTTCAATTTTGGAAAAATTCTGAGAAATGGATTCCTATCCCATATTTGTAGTGGATGTGTGTTTTTGTGCAAACCCAATGAGTAATACATAGGAAACCAAATTGTTAAAAAAAATTTAGGTTTTTAAACCTTTTTATGTGATTTTAAGATTTATTTTTTTAATGCATTCCATTTGTAAAACTATCCTGATTCGAGTAAATTATGAACTTAGCTATTGGAAGGACTTTATTTTCCTAATTTTTAAGGCATGAATAAATGTTCTTTCATCAAATTATTTTCATTGGAGAAAACTCAACTTCGGGTCGATGTGGTGTTAAATGTGTGCAGTCTTTCCAATTCTGTGGTTATGCAGATTCAGCTTCAGGGATTTGTATATGGTTATATTCTGTATATGGCTGCGACTGAATTGTGAACTTTGTCTATTTGTCCTTGCTTAATTTGTGGATTCAGCCATCAATGCTGTTTAACCAAAGTTCCTTTTGGCATTTGGACAGTTATTACTGCCTTTGTGCAATTTATTTAGATAAGCATTTCCTTATTATACGTATTTCTATATGTTTTAACGTTTTGAGTTTAACTGGTTTTCTGTTCTCAACCCGATCTTTTAGCTTTCCAGTTTCTCAATTAATATCTTTTTCTCGTCTGTTTTACAGGACCTGTCGATCTGAGTAGAGTTTGCAAGATGGGGAGCTTGAGCAGCTTTTGGCAGTTGGGTGATGAGCTTCGAGGGCAGTCAAAAGTCGCAGAAGATAACAAATGGTTAATGGCCGCTTCAAAATTGGCTGAGCAGACAAGGGTAAAAGGCGAGCGTATGAATAACCTTGATCTTTCAAAGGGCCCAGTTGAACAAAGGGTGAGGGATAAATTTGGATTCCAGGAAGATAACAAGTTTGAAAGCCAATACTTTAACATGCTGAGCTTGGATTCTAAAGTAAATGAGAATGTGAGCAAAATTTCCTTCAGGAATGGTATGTATAACATGAATGCAGTTTACCAGAAGAACAATGCAAGCATTGTAGGAAACATGACTGGTAACAAGTACAACAACAAAGAAATCAACAACTGCAACAATAACAACAACGAATCTGCAAATACAGTTGAGAAAAGGTTCAAGACCTTGCCGGCTACTGAGACGCTCCCAAGAAATGAAGTGCTTGGAGGTTACATCTTTGTGTGTAACAATGACACAATGCAGGAAGATTTGAAGCGACAACTATTTGGTAAGTTTGACTAATTCTTAGCTCCCTTAAAAATCTGCTTTAGTGTGTTAAAAAAATTTAAGCTTAAATTGCGGGTTACAACTATAGGTCCAGGTTTAAATGACTGACATTTAGCTGGCATTCCCTGCATGATGCATTTGCAGTCTTTACTGAGATACTAGTTCATGTAAAGGGTCCTTCAGTTTATGCCAATTCTTATTAGGAATATCCATAGGGATCTGAACTCATAAAAGTTATAAGTGGGAGTATAGTACATTGGACGAAATGGTTTTGTGATTTTATGATGTATTTGTCTAGCCATGCAACTTATTTCCTGAGTTAACAATAAATGCAGATTATGCTTATGAAGTATATCTTTTGTATTCCTTTTTTGAAACTCGAAGGAATTCTCATGTGTATTAATCATTATATCTATGTGGTAGGTTTACCTCCAAGGTATAGAGATTCTGTTCGGGCAATAACACCAGGCTTGCCATTGTTTCTCTACAATTATACAACACACCAGCTGCATGGCATTTTCGAGGTTTGTTCTCAAACTTAGCTTATACTGTATTCATATGTTTTGACTTTTGACTGCAATATTCTTTGCAGCATAGAAAGTGTACAGACGTGGACTATGATATTAGCTTATTAGTAAGGTCATTATGATATTAGCTTATTAGTAAGGTCGTTATGATATTAGCTTATTGTTTCCTCTTTCAATTGGTTTTGTGCAGGCAGCGAGCTTTGGTGGTTCAAACATCGATCCAACTGCTTGGGAAGACAAGAAGTGTAAAGGCGAATCTAGGTTTCCTGCTCAGGTAAACTTGAAATGATAAAGTTGAAAGTTCTGGTCTTTCAATTTTTTGCACGTATCCAATTTTTTGACGGAGACTGTCTCCCTCTGTTATACTCGATTATTAGGTAAGGATCCGTGTGAGAAAAATCTGCAAGGCTTTGGAAGAAGATTCCTTCAGGCCTGTCTTGCACCACTATGATGGTCCCAAGTTCCGTCTTGAGCTGTCAGTTCCTGAGGTATGCATGGCAGCTAAAAGCCATTGGTTGCATTTTCTACTCCGTTGGTTTAATTGTAGTGATTTCATGTAAACCCATTTGATGAGTTTTGATTATTTTGCAGACCCTTAATCTATTGGACCTATGCGAACAAGCGGGCTCCGCAGCATAAGCTAAATGTTGGCAGCAATATGCCGATGTAGGAGTTTCTCGTGGTGCATTTCAGCTGTGTGCTTTCAACAGATTTTCCATGGAGCGCAAGCTTAGGGGTTAAATCTGGTTTTTCATTTTTCTTTCCTTTTTTCTTTATCGTCTGGAGTCGTATGGTAACAGTTACACAGTGTTACCGTGAGTGAGCGCTGCCGAATAAGCGAACGTGTCTCGTGAAGCTGCTTGTTTTAAGTTTTACAACATTTGAAAGCTTTGATAATGATGAAAAAACGAAGTCAGGTAGATGTAAAAGCGAAACGATTGTGCTGTGACGCAGTCGCTGTGTAATGTAATGATAAAGCCTCTGAAGGTCAAGTCCTTGTTGATGCTGTGTGCTATCCATGTTGTTTACAGATGTAGCTTCTTCAAGCTCAAATCTCGCCTTCGTTTGTGATTTCTATCACTTCTCAACAATCTGTGGTGAACTTTAACGAAAAACTTCCGGGACTTAACGAAAAACTATATTTTTACATTAAAAAGTCAATTATGGTACTATTCATTTTATCTTTTATTTTGTCCTTATCATTAAAACTCAAAGTTTTCAAGCTCTTTTTATTAGTTTTCTTTTTTTTTGAGCAAACCATATTAACTATACTAAGGGGGGGTAAGTTTAGTTTTATAATGGCCTAGTAATAATGTATTTCAAATTCGTCTTTGATGAAAATCGAATATAAAATTTTCATTTACAAGTGAAAGAAGAATACCACTAGATCGCAGTACTAAGTGGCTGTGCTATTAATTTTCTTCTAGCTGAAATTCAACAAACATAAGGTGTATTTTGGGTTCTTTACTACCATGAATGGGTACGTGATGAAGAAAATCATTTCATGAATTAAAAAATTCGATACTAAATTAGTTTTTCCACATGCACAGTTGCAAAATATATACTTACTAATTTTTGAGAAAATTGTTATTGACACTCTAAAAATTTCATTTCGCCCTTCAAACTTTTTATAATTGATCAGAAAATTACATTTAATGTGGAATGATATTTTAAAAGTGTTAATAAGCGTTCACATTTCCGGTGCCAAAGCATTTATTTAGTTTCGATAAAGCTACTTGCAGCGCGCCATACATCCGGATCATTCTCTCCTCCATCACTGACATAAATGATTGCAAAATCTTTACAGACATGATACAATTCTCATGCGTTCGCTTTAATCCCATTAAATAAATAAATAAATAAAAAATAAAAAAAAACACAAAAGTAGTTGCCTCCCTCCACCCTCCAAGCTGTTCACTAACAACATCATCATCATCGTCGTCGTCATTATCATCATCATCATCATCATCATCATCATCATCATCATCATAGTCATTATCGTCATCATTATCATCAGCATCATCATACAGACATGATACAATTCTCATGCGTTCGCTAAAATCCCATTTAAAAATAAAAAAGCAGTTGCCTCCCTCCACCCTCCAAGCTGTTCACTAACAACATCATCATCATCGTCATTATCATCATCATCATCATCATCATAGTCATTATCATCATCATCATTGTCATCAGCATCATCATCATTGTCATCAGCATCATCAGTATCATCATCAGCATCATCATCATCATCACAACCAGGAACCACGGTGCATCAAATAGCTGCTGACATGAGAAATGCACGAATTCTTTGCAAAAGCTCCGCCTTCACGGAATCGGGGACGGAGGCTGCGTATAGCAAATTTAAACAGTGAGATCAACTAATTCGAAGACAAATAAGTGAGTACTAACTGTCAAACGGGCATCAACATCTCGATAACATGAAATTGGATGAAATATGTCAAGGTCAATCGAGATCAAGGTAACTTGAATCTCTTGAATTCTAAGACTACTTTTCTTGATTGTAAATATACGTACGCTCAGTTTCATTTCATTTTTCCGAGTGAATCTCAGTCTCACTTACAGAGGATAAGATTGTGAAGGAATCAATCAAGTTTACTACAGAGGATAAGTGTAGTATTAGTAACACCAAAAAAATAAACCTCGCTCGACCTAGAGTGAAGGGGTTTTGATGACCCTAATGATCAGCACCAGAAGAAAACAGCCACACCATGACCGCAAGGGCCAGAAAACCACCTTCCCTGGCTCTGGTAGCTTCCTAAACCACCTATTCTACTTAATACAAGACTATCACTCCGACCCACATGCCCACCCAACTTCATTACATATGCTCAAAGACACCATCATCTAAACAATCCTTAATCCCTCACGGACACCACCAGCACATTTTTACAGAGACGTCCAACTCCTCCCACACCATCCATCATGCTACCCGCTCCCACAAAGACACCATCAACTATTGTACTCTCAATACTACCTTTGCATTACGCACACCAAACACAGAATGCCATACGAAAATTGGTAAAATAAGATGTGCAAGTTTTCCACTGACAAACAAGGCCTTTTATACAACATTGAGTGTCTAAAACAATCAAAAGAATATGATGAACGAAAGAAAGAGTTACCTCTGCCCTTTGGGGTGATTACATGTACAAGGTCATCAACTGTAACATTGTTCCTCCCCTTTTTCTTTATAAACGCCCTAACATTAAAAAGATACACATGGGTTAAAAGATGCTTAATTAGCAACCTTGATATGTGAACACTTAGTTGACTGTATGAAAACATTATGTTAAAATACACAGAACGATTTCGCAATAAAGAAACGTAATGGATGATTCAATGTACATGTTATCAAATAGTTCATGACTAAAGCTATCTTAGTCAGCCATTTAGTTCCTACAGTTCCCATACAATCGAGGTTGCTGTAATCCCAAGGACAAGATTCAGCTTACACAACCATCGAGCCCCTAGGACCATGCCGCAACCTCCAAGAGGAAGATGTGGAAATCAGCAAAAACCAGTTGTCTTGTAGAGTAGATACCACCATGACCTCAAATCAATCTTGTCCAAGTGTTGCCTAAATTGATCAACATCGTAACTTGGTTCGTTGAAATTTTAACAACGGTCACACTTTTGAGGCATCACAAATCCAGTGAGGGCGCATTTTAAAAGATTTCCAATCGTCCCACACCTTCAGGTTACTATGACAAAGACGATATATGTTCTAAACTACTCTACTCTGAAGGGAGGGTGAATTGAATTTGAACTTGGGTGCAAGAGGGCGGGAAGACTACCCAGGTCAACTCTCCTAACCCGCATCAACCTCGAAATTACGAATCAAATAATGAAACTTTACTGTTTACTGGCTCCATACAGTGTAACTGATGAATTGATCCCAATAAATACCTGCAAAGAGCTTTCATTTCATCCTTCCATCCACACTCTATCAGCCTTTCCCTCAGAAGCTCCATTAACCTCTCCTTTTCACCGCTCTCAATCAACTGTAAAAACCAGGCAGCAAATTCGAACCAGAAACCAGAAAAATCTAAGTCAGCTCAGTAAAATCAACCCCCAGTTCCCAAATAAAACGGTAACAATAAATTAAATTAAATTAAAATAAAACACTACACCTCGATGCTGATAAGCTCTTGAAGGGTGGGCTCTTTTGCTTGATTTTCTGCAGCATCCGGCGTCGGCGGACGATTCACAGATTTCCACCTTAATTTTCCAACAAAATATGCACAAATACAAATTAAAAATCCATTCTTTTTAACACACACTATGCAAAACACAAATTAAAAAACCCCCACAAGAAATAAATCGTATGAAAACCCCAACTGAGCTTGCTAAAATTTTTCATTCATTAATTTTTTTTCCCATGAATGTAAGGAAAACCCTAGCTGAGGTCAGGGTAGGGGACTGACATGGTTTTGGCAAACGGAGACGGTGAAAATCTCGACCGTCGAACACTCTGTGACTTGAAGGAGGAAAGTAGATTGATCCTACGGTCATACGGGGATGCAGGTTTAATATTGGGCCCTCTCTGATTGACGTTTATTGGGCTAGGCCCAATCATACACATCGCCATGCCTATATTAGTATATTTTAGAGTATTACCACCCAACCAAACATTGGTTAAGTTGAATCTATGTCTGGATATAAAAAAAATTAAAATTAAAAAAAAAAGGGTTGAATCTATGTCTTCTCCGAATCTCTTTGTTTGGTCCTTCCAACATTAGTCATTTTGACGGAATTCTGATTGAATTGACGAAAATGACCCTAACTATACGTTTTGATGAGTTAATGGACCAATGGTCATGAATTTTTAGTTGAGGAACCATTACTCCAATAGGGTTAAAGTTAAGGGATCATTGCTACAATTTTCTCACTCTAAAATGAACCAATTAATATATAAAGGGTGGTTCTACCCACACACATTTTTACCTCTCACAAACCCTTTCAATTTCCAGTCATTGAATTGAATGAATATAAAAAGATCAATGGACAAAAATTAATAAATGCGTGTGGGAGGTAAAAGGGGTATACGAATAACACTACCCCATATAAATTGCCCGACCTATCTTGGACTTTAATGGATAGGGTCTTTAAAAGAAGAACCTATATGATTTGGTACATTGTTATCGTGACTAGGTGTGTTAATAATCTGACTTGTGTGTAATGCAAGTTGCTCTCCTCTAAATAGATGAACATAGACTTAGAGCTCTTCTTGGATGTATCGTGAGGTGTAACCCCTCATCACCATTCCGTTTTGTCTCGTGATGGGAGAGTATATCTTGGTTACACCCCAAATTTTACTCGGTCATAAGACGTAAGCTATACAATGATATAAGTCATCACGTTACAACACGTGATGAAATAAATACTAATAAGGGGATATATTAATAGTTACACTCTAAATTTTGCTCAAAAAACTTATATAAAACATGTTACTATCACATAAAGTCCAAATATAATAACGCATTGTCTTGTGCGTATTTAAACGTAACAATACAATATTGAACCAAAACACTAGAGTCTCGTCAACGCATCTTATATGAGTGGCTCTCCATCTATAGACCAAAGCTCTTAAAAATTCTTGTCAGCTACAAGAAAAACAGGATTTCTATTCCTAATGCATGGAGGATGAAAGCACATTAACACACGTCTTACTGGGGAGAGGCAGGTGTCGTTTTGGTTGCAAGATGCAGCCATGCAGGCATGCAGCTGGTTTCGCTGTACATAAATATATGTGTGTACTTTGTCGACACCGTTAATTACGTGGCTAATCAGATTTTTCAATGCACTAAAACGTGAACACTTTTGGTGATCTGTCCATCCGATGTAATCATAACATATAGAAATTATATTTTGTGCTCCTAACTTCTACACGAGGGGAATGGCTTGCATATGCCTCTTGAAACGCTATTATCGTTTTAAAATGATATTATAATATTATGTGTTTAAATTCTAAATAACATTGTATTATTGATCTAAAACATTTCTTCTCAAGATTCTACTAGGACGGTTGATTCTGTTTGATGTGTCGACGACCAAGATTCGATGTCGTCGAAGTCACTAAAAGGAATAGCGTTGCAGTCACACACTCTAGAGCATTCTTGGACTTTCTGAAATTCTGGTTTAATTTTGAGTTCTGGAGTTCTGGGATAATTTTGTTTGGTTGGTAGGAAAACTTACATGGATTTTGCGTTGCAGTGCGGAGTTCTAGGTTTAATTTTGATGTTAATTTCTTTCATTTCCTTTTTTTTTTGGTTTAATTTTGAGTTCTGGGTTAATTTTGTTAAGGCCTCAACGTCTTTTTCTCAAAGGAATATACAGTGTGTGGTCTTTGTCATCACCGGCATGCTTTGCTCATCTCCATTTTCTAGTGTTTTACGCTGCCCATATACAACATGGCGTTGCATTTCTTTCTTAATTTCCTGTTCTCCTATTAACAAAAAATTGGGTCAATATTTTAGTCTGACACTTAATCTGGCACTGTACCAAACACTTCACTATTTTTATCTTGTTTAGTCTAAGCCAAGCCAGTCCAGCTTAATCCCTAAAGCTAGTTCAGTCCGAGATAGTTTAGTGCAACAAACGCACCCTAAAAGACAAAGCAAGGATGCCCATGTACACACAAAGTGCTCAACGAAGTGTTAATTTAAAAAATAGAGAAAAAAAATTACCCGTTACACACTATTTCTGTTTACAAAATCTTTAAATCTTTTATACTAAGACCATCCGAGGTTGAAATCTTGCATCCGCCACTGATTTCAATGATATGGGCTTGATCACTGGTCGGACCGTTCGAGTTGGTCACTCAAAGTTTATAGACCAGGTACAAGAAACTGAAGAAACTAAGTAACTGACTGAATCGGGGTTTACCTCGATCTGGGGATTTCAACGTGTGAAGTAATAAAATGTGTTTAGCAAGCTTTTGATGTTTAGACTTTACGGGGTTTGTGTGAATATCAAAATATTACTTTGACATAACGACATGTAGTTAGCGGCGAAGAGGGACGAAAACAGCGACAGGACAAAGTGTGTGCAGTCAGTGTTAATTATTAAAGATCAAAAGGTGATATCATGAGTTTATTACTAATCCTTTTGATTAATCAATCACTAATCATTCCCCTAGCACTAATCCTAGTACTAATAGTTCCTACTAATCCTTTTGATTAATCAATCACTAATCATTCCCCTAGCACTAATCCTAGTACTAATAGTTCCTGTTTCCATCAAACCATCAATTCCAAATTTCCATCAGCTTCACTTTCAGTTGTCAAGCCTGTCCTCTTCCCTCACATCAGCATTCTGCTTTTGGTCGTTTACTTTCCTCTATGGCACCGGGGTCTGTCTACCGTGTTAATTAACGGAGCAAATTTCTATCATCGGTTCTCTTTTATTTGAAAGGTCATGATTAAGACATCTCAACATTTTGTGTTGTCTTTGTTTTTTTTTTTTGTTTTTTTTAAAGAGAAATAAAATGAGGAAGTTGAGGGAGGATGGGAGGGAGGAAAAAGAGTCATATTTCATTAGAGCAACTCCACCCTTTAAAAAATGCGCTTGCATTCAATCCACTCAGTGAACAGTGATAAACTTTAATAAACAGTAATAAGTCAAATGCATCTCCACCCTTAAAAAATACGCTGGCACAAACGATCTCCACCCCTACAAAATATGCTGGCACTTAGCCCATTTAAAAAATATATTTTTTAATAATAAATTAAAAAATAGTTTTAATTTCTTATAGAATTTTTAATCAATTTCGTCACGCTACGTGTCATTATCCGAACATACTATTTTGTGAATAGATTTCCGCTAAGATTTTCAACCAATCCTAACGCATCTCGTGTCACTATCTTATTTGATGTGTTTAAATAAAGTTCCAAAAATAAATTTGAAATTACATAAAGTTTTAAAAATAAATAAGAAATTACACAAAGTACTAAACCATAAATAAGAAATTACATCTATTAATAAAAATAAATAATAAATTACATAAAGTACAAAAAATAAAGACGAAATTACATAAAGTACTAAAAATAAATACGAAATTATACAAAATCTGTGGAGCTAGGATATGTGGTGCTAGGATTTTCGTTGCTAGGATCTGTGTAGGTAGAACCCCCTCAACTTGTTTCCGCATCTCTTGCACACCTCCTTAGCACGACGTCTCTTTTTTCCGAAATCCAAAAATATTTTGAATTTGGAGACAATCCTACTAGAGGCTTGTTCATAGTGTCATGATCTGCTTGAGCCATCATTTCTTCTCTAAGCATCTCATTTTCTCGATTAAGTGCTTCTCTAATCATCTCGTTCTCTCGATTAACTATTTCTCTTTGTCTCTCAGACGTCGTATTACGTCTCTCAGTAGCTGCTAATATTGTTGCCATAACAACAACTTTTTCCTCATTTATAGCCGCTTCCTGCGCCATGTTCAGTTCACCTTGGTGAGCAAGTTCGTCCATATATTTAGTGTAGTCATTTTTGGAAGAACTACATTTTTTCTTTGATGCCTTTTTACCTTGAGGCCTGAGGGACTGACGAGTCGGTTAGGTCTCCAGCACTTCTTTAGGCGTCCCTTCCATCTCTTCAAATGTGTCGTCTTCTTATTCGGCCATGTTTGCCTCTGGCGAACTGTGTAAACCCATGTCGTGCATGACAACTTCTGGACCGGTTGCCACAATTTTGTATCTGGGGCAATCTTTGACAATTTGCCAACATTCTCATCTGCTGAATGATTTGTTATGGTTATTTGCATTGTAGAATGCTTGTGCTTGTAGTGTCTATAAATGTGGGATAAGACAGTATTATAAAATGCGGGTGTAACACAAATAAATAAATTAAAATATTGATGTGGGTGGAATGCATATAAATAAATAAAAATATTGTCACTTGATTCGCTAAACTTGTCCCACTACGCAGATTACCAAAAGCATGAGAGATGGTGTTTTTCCAACAAGTAAAGGATGCGTTGAGTTTTTTCCAACGACCTTGAAGACCTTGACTACTTCTGGCGTCTTTTCCATGTACATCGCCAAAAGCTTTCATAATTTTACTCCACGTTTCTCGCTTATCCATCTTATTACCCGTAATCGGGTCATAAGTAGTGTGAACCCAACATTCAAACAAAGTAAGACCTTCGATGAGCTTCCACGTAGTCATTTTTTCTCTAAAAAATTATATGAAAGCTTTGGTAGAAATTGTTGAAAATATTGAAATGCGGTGTAAGGTGGAATATGAGGGTTAGGTATTTATAGGGATTTTAAAATAAAATAAAATTTTGTATTTTTAACAATTTTTTTATCAATTTTAATTTAGGTAATTAATTTGGACTGTTGGATTTAAAAAAGATTCAAATCCAATAGTCTATACCTTGACACGTGGCCAAAAGTCATAATTCTGATCGTTGTGTTTTTTTTTTTAATTTTAATTTCTGGCAGAAAAATATGGACCGTTAATCTCTGGATCGGACAGTCCAGATCAATTTCAAATTCAAATTTTTTTTACCGTTGGAAATCCAACGGTCCAGAAATCTAGCTGTTGGAAATCCAATGGTCGAGGACTGGCCACGTGGCCTCCCATCAGAAAGG